CTGGAACACCCTAACACAGCGTCTACATGAGCGGGAGGGGTAGGAACAGTTTGCATCCTATTTTTTTGAGGGGGTAGGCTGCTTTAATGGGGGTATGATAAGTTTTTTGGGGGGTTATCTATTAAATTTTGAGATCAAATAGGACAAAATTTATTGCTGTAAAAATTAATACTTTTATTATAGAATTATTATAATACAATTCATCGACCAAATCTATATATTGCAAACAATCATACACATTGTTTTCCAAATAAAACTTTCCGCTATCCTTTGTAATGTAATTTAAAAGGTTTAGATATTTTAGCAAGCTCATAATGCCATAATAATTAATTCATTGTAAATAATGGAGGTTTTAATTGAATTTATTATCTAAAAAATAAATTCTTTATATTCACAAAATATCGATAATTGGTAGTAGAGATAGATTAATTTAAGTTGTCCTTTATTAATTCTCTGAAAAGTGTATCGATAAATTAATAAGGTGAAAATAATAGAAAAACACCGCCGCCGAAGGCGGCGGGAATTTTTAGGGGGGTAACAGGTTTTTGAAGGGGCTTAGCATCCAGTAAAAATCCTGTCATGTAGACGCTGCCCTAACAGGTCCATGGTAATTTTGGGGGAGTGTTTGCATGTAGGGGCATGTTTGTACCCATAACTAGACGAGATTTGTATGAATACATAGCAGGAATGCGTAGAAACATTACCAGAAATTGAGGTAGCGTAGTAGGAATAGGGAGGGAAGAGAACGAGGGAGTATCGCAGAGCTGAGTGGAGAAGCTGCGAGTGAGAGGGGTGAGAGGAGAGTATTCTTAGGAGATAAAGAAATAAGCGAAGTTTATTATATAGGAGAGTAATAGGGGAGAATAATTCTAGGAGAAATAGGGGCTAATAATTCTAGGGGGGTAATAGGGGAAAATAATTCTAGGGGAGAAATAGGGACATTTTAGGAGAAAAATAGGGCAAATAATTAGGAGAGAAATAGAGGGGAATAATTTTAGGGGAGAAATCAGGGGTAATCGAATGGGAAGAATTGGGGTTTTAAAAGGTTGTGATTTTGGAGGAAAGGAAGAAAAGAGTGCGGAAGAAGAGGGGGGATTTCGAGATGTATCAGGGAAGGTTAAGTGATGGGAGACAATTTGATAAAAGATAGTTCCCTTTCCGTAGATGAGTCGAGATGGGTGCAGGGGTAGTGGAAGATCTGTCTAAAAAACCGGATTTGCAAAATAGAAATATAGAAATGGTAATGATCAAAGTAGAAGGAGTGCAAAAATTTGTGGATAATTATCAGAAGATTTTTGGTGAAGAGTTGGTATGTCTCAAAGATTATGAAGTGGATATTAGATTAAAAAAAGGGCGGCATGCCTAAATTTGTGCGGTACGACGAGTACCGTTTGAATGGAGAAGAGAAGTGGAAATGGGATGTGATCGATTGGTACAAGGGCATTGTAGGTCCCGTAGATTATAGTGAATGGGCGACACTTCTGGTGCCGGTGAAAAAGGCTAACGGCAAGCTCTGTTTATTCGCCGATTTCCGAGTCATGCTAAACCTGGGTGGTGGTGTCAAGTATTCTTTCCCACGAATTGAGGAGATATTGGCTAATTTAAAAGGTAGTATATATTTTTCAAAAGTAGATTTTTCAAATGCCTATTTACAATTACGTGAAGCAATAGGGCAAAAGCTATTCACTATCACTACGCCAAAGATATTATACGCATTCTGTAGGTTTCCTTGACTTCGCGTTTCGGCATCAATTTTTCAACCATAGGCGTAGCCAGGATTTTCCTTAGGGAGAGGGGGGGGGGGAATTAAAAAATTATAATTACTGGGGGCTTCGCCCCCAGACCCCATTTTGGGCGGGCCTTCGGCCGGGTTACCTTGGTATATATATAGTCATAAAATATTTTTACAAGAGAGGAGATTATTTTTAATAAAAAAAATAAGCCTGGTCAAATATGAAATACATTTTTATTAGTTTATATAAAATATAATAAATTACTTTTATATACATTAATATAAAAGCATGGTAATAATTTATTCCAAACAAGTATAAGAAATTTATTTATAAAAAGTAAATAGACATATAGTTGATATTCCTCTATTATATAGAATTGGTTACAAAATACTAGGTAAAATTCTAGTTTACAGATATATTTGACAGTTAGAGAATATATTACAGTTAATATTTTAACAAACATTATTAATAAATGCTCTTAATAATAAATATAGCAACAATTTGTATTCAATTATTTAACGCCATCTATTTTCTAATTAAAATGATATAAAAAAATAATCTTCATATTATTTATTCCACAATGTCTTTAAAAGATATTTTCTGATGTCCTTATCATTATTATATAGTTTTCTGTATAATTCGCTATATTGGTAAAAATTATTTGATTGTCATATAATAATTGATAAGATTAGTTATATTGTAAATCTACGACATATAATATTCCACTGTTTGTATTATTATATTTACTTTTATTAAAATAAATAAATTAAAATTACTCACTTAAAAAATATATTTGATATATTATATTATTTAGTAATTTTATGGATCTATTATTATAATTATAATACATTTCACTTTTGTCTTAAGACTTATCTTTGGCTTATATTCCATTTCTTAAAAAACATTTTTGGTTCACTTTTTTTTATATAAAAATGCTTTTTCCCAAAAAATGTATAAATTATGATGAATAGTTTTATAAATAAATATCAACTTTTACATTCTTTCTTTCAAATTATTGTTTACGATATATGCATACATTTTTGGGGGTCAGGAAGTGGGGGAAGGACTAAGGGAAATATTTTTTATTAGCTTAAAATGATATTCACAAAAAGTGATAAATTTTTGAAGGGGGGTGGGAATTTCACCTTGCCCAGGGAAATATTTTTTATTAGCTTAAAATGATATTCACAAAAAGTGATAAATTTTTGAAGGGGGGTGGGAATTTCACCTTGCGTTTTCAACGAACTATGGCAGAAGGGGTTTAAGGATGATGTATTGGTGACTGGAAAAACATCTGAACATTATGAAAAAAGGTTGGAAGAGGTATTTAGAAGCATTTAAAAAAGGGTTAAGAGCAAGTGCTGAAAAAGGGTGTCAGGACTCAGGAGTGTAGGTATTCGTATATTTGGGGCATAAAATAACTTGAAAGGTGGTGAGGCCATTGGACAAAAACATGACGGGAATTGCGAGTATGCTGAGAGCAAATAATAAAGTGGAGGTGCAGGCGTTTTTTGGGATAGTAAATTATTATTATCGATGCACAAATAGCAGCGTCGTTATATAAATTGTTAAAGAAAGAAGGAAAGTTTGAATAGAAAAATGAACAAGGAGGCTTTTGAGCGGTATCCAGAATCGGAAGAGAACCAGTTCCAGTGTGTTTTAATAATGATTTGTAAATGTTGTTAGCCGTATTTGCATCCAATAAAGGAAGGTGTAGGAGGAACGTTATTACATTTCATAGACGAGCTGGAAAGACCTGTTTTATTTTTCTCTAGATTGCGGAAACAGGATATTCAGTTATCGAGCAAGAAGCGTTGGCCTTTATTTTTGGATTGACAAAATGCTTATAGCAATTAATAGGACGTAGATTTATAGTATATACGGATCATAAACCGCTATTTCATCTTTTTAATTAATAAAGAGTTAATGTTGTAGTCTAAATTTGCAAAGATGGTTGTTACTGGTGGGTTGATTTACAATTGGAATATCGGTGAGAAAGGGAAAATTATTTACCAGATAATCTTTCTAGAGTGAGTCAAAGGATCTAGATAAAGAGGATGAGCGAGGATTGATTAGGACGATGGTAGGAATATCTAAAGGAGGACCGGTAACGTGGAAGCAATTCAAAAAGGCCACATTAAAAGATCGATTATTAAGTCATGCATAAAGGGCGGAAGACATGGCTAGACGGAGACAAATTTTATAATATATAGTAAAGAATTGGCTATAGTGGATGAATTTATGGTTCAAGGGAATAGACGTATAATTCCTATCAAATTAAAGGATGCGGTGTTGGCAATGATTCATGCTGGTCATTAAGGAGTGGAGAAGATGAAACAATGGGGTCGAGAATATGTGTGGTGGCCAGGAATGAATAGAGATATTGAGAATATCAGCAGAATATGTTTGATGGGCAATATGTGGGCCAAAATGCCCCATAAAGACAAGAAAAGTGTTTGGCCAGGGCTACGCAACCGTGACATCGACATTTTCTACTTTGAAAATACGATATATATATACTCGTTGTGGACGCTTACTCAAAATGCGTAGATTACAAAGAGGTAAGGGGGTTAACGATTCAAGTGGTAGTGAAAACGTTGGAAAATCTATGGGCCAAGTTCGATCTCGAATGATAGTCTTTTATCAGTGAGCAGTTTAAGACGTTTTGTGTGGAAACCAGGGTATAACATATTTTAGCATTGCCATAACATCCAAGCTCAAATGGTCAGGCGTAGAGGATGGTGACTTGTCAAATATTGTTAAAGAAAATTAAAATATGACCTGGATTTTACTGGACTGTCTAAAGCAGGAACCCGTTGAAGAGATGAATGAGATAAACGATAGTTCGGAATTCTAAGTTGAACAGACGGTGTGGGAAAGAATATATGGAAGTACGAGAAAATGGGATTCAGAAGTAATAATAGAGGTAATGGTAAAAAACTATGTTGAGTAAAATTCAACGATGGAAGGGAGGGAATTAGGCATCGAGATTAAATGAAGAAAGGATTAGAGCCAGGATGATTGAGATCAAGTTAGCACTGTGAAATATAAAAAATGATGATGATGAAAAATATATAAGGTGTAGTTTGCCTCAGCTACTCGAAAGGGACAGATGGGAATAAAAGGCAAAGGGAAATTTTTATTAGCGTTTATAATAGCAGTGGATATATCAACCAAGACGTGGAAGGTAAAGATGATGGAAAAATATTTATCTTAGTATAGTTCTCAATATATCCTATGAAAATCTAATGAAATAACTAAATCAAGGATCAGATATGGATATGGCTTGACTCAATATATGTGCGATAGATTATAATATGAAAAATGGATCAGCATTTACCAGCGAACAAAGAGAGGATACTCAAGGATAACTACCTTTCGAATTGTTGAAAACCAGTGAATGGACAATAATTAGGCCGGGAGATAGGTTAAAGTGTGAGTTTGGTTTTTATCTATTTTGGGGGGAGAAGTTAATTTTGCGTATTCATTATCATTTTTTTGTTAATTTATCAAGTCATCATTATCATGAAATATATTTTTTTGGAAGAAGATTATTAATAAATTTATATTTATTTTTCAAAATGTGCAAGATATAAAAAGCCTAAAAAAAAGTAAAATATTTATTAAATTATATTCTTAAATTTTATTATTAAAATATTTTTTTTCAAATTAGGAAATAGAATTATTATTAATATATTATTAAATTATATTTTTAAAATTATTAACTTATTTTGTTTAAAATTGTTTTTTTTTTCAAATTGGGAAATAAAATTATTATTAATAATATCATTTTTATCATTTTAAAATTGTTTTAAAATAAAAAATCAAATTAAATCGTATCCCTTCTGAAAATATTTGTGCTGTTGATATTAGATATTATAAAGTAAGAAAAAATATACATATTTTATTTCGTGTGTTGTTTTGTTGTTGTTGTGTTGTGTGTTTTTATATAAAAAGCAACTAAAATCAATCTTTATTTCTTTCAAATTCTACTAATAACAAAAATAATAATAAATATTAAAGTTCAATGAACTAACTGTTAACACATAACAATATATGATTATATAGCTTTATGATAAGCGAAAAGAGGGTTTAAATTTCATATAATATCAATTTTATTATTTTTAAACTCTTCATATTTTTATGCTACCTAATATTGTGGGGTAAAAACAAATCACGGAAAAAGAACACCCTGAATTATTTTAAAATTTTTATAAAATTTACTTAATACGTGCTCTAAACATTTTTAAAAAAATCGAACGCGTTCACGTTCAATTTCAAAAAAAGGAACTCGTTCACGTTCATGTATGCGTTCACTTTCGTTCAAAATTTGTAAATTTTTTTTAAAAATTTAATTTAATAAAAATAAATGTCATATTATTTAATAATATATTAGACATGTTAAAAAATAATATGGTATTATTTTGATAATATAATTACAAATGCAATATAATATAGTGAATAAAAAGATAATTTTATTTAAAAAAATTCTTATTAATTTTTAATAACAATTGTTTTTCAAAATTTTCATCTGATAGACAGGAACGCTTGGTTAATACGGCATTAGCTATACTAAAAACGAGCTCTATAGGACACACTTTTACAGCGTTTCGCTTAGAGCTTCATGATTATCATTATTAAAAGCTCTAAATCATGTGTTTATATTTGCAACATTTCTGCATAATTATTTTTAGGGCTAATATTGGCTCTAGTAAGTTTGTTTGGTCTATATGCGCATATCTATTTGGGGAAAAGATGAAGTGTAGATGATATGATTTTATTTATTAAGAGGACCTTAAAAATTTTTGAGATAGGATTTGAGGGCTACAGCTCAATAAGTAAATTTTTGTGGGCTTTGATTTTTGGGAAATTACATAGGAAGGATTTGTTCCATTCCATTGTAGTATTTCTTTCCGTTCTCCCATATTTTATTGAAGAGTCTAGTAGGAAGGAAGATATTGTCATAGGTGCGGTGATTATCGAGCCCCAGCTTTGTTTTTCCGTAGTTTTTTTATTACATTTGATATTTTATTTATGGAGAAACCAGACGGGGGTGGGACAAGGTTTATATTGTTTGTTGGTAGAGTTACCTTCCGTGAGTCGAAGACCATCTTATAATAATCAAGCCGTAATGTCATTTGTTCGTCCTGGTCAATGATTATTTTTCCGTTTCCTAAAATTATAGAGTTGGGTTTTCTAACTGCAAGGTTTACAGAATTATTTTAATTTTTTATAGGCGTCATAAATTCTATTTTCTTTCATATCTTTATCAATATCATAGGCTTTTTTGCTATGTAAATCCTTTTATCACTCCATAGTAATCTCTGTATGATTTTCCATAACTCTGAGCCATTCTTCATTCTTAGTTGATTTATTTTTTCTAATGTCTCACTAGAGTCCATTCTTTCCTTGAAAAAATGACTTACATTTGGCAACATCATATGATTCTGCAAGATCATTTTAAATAATTTCCAGCATTCTTCTAAGTTTTAGTGCATAGTTATGTTTAGAAAGTTGGCTCTTTTCCTATTTAATGCTTGATCAAGAATTATATATCTTCCGGCGTTTGTAATTTACTAAGTTTAGGTGTAAAGTTTGTTTTCAAATGAATTGTACTAGATCCAATCAAGTTTTGTCTAATTCTTTTATAATAGCCCCATATATTTTTTTACGGTAATAATAGCTAAAGCATTCTATGATCCGACAGGTTTATATTAGTTGATGCCTTAACGCCGTCAAACCACTGGTGAATATTAGAGATGAAGAAATCAATTTTGGATTTCTGCCAGCCCTCACGACGGTGCATGTGTTTATTTCTCGGTGGAAAAAAAAGTATTTTAGACTTTAAGTTTCTTGCTATCCTTGCTATTCGGTTGTTATATGGTAGCATACCCGGTGACATTACTGCTAACAAACAGCCTCTTTACCAATTTTCAGGTTTAGATAGCCTATAATTATTATATTATATCTGCACGGTAGGGTGTGAATCGTATTTATCATTATGTCGATGAAGCCTAATCTTTCATTTCTATTTGGTGGGGCATAAAAATTTGCTATTATTGTGAGCCTAAAATTTGTGTTTAAATAGAGAAGACTACATCGTTTAGATATGGGTACGAATTTGATGGTGAATTTATATATTCGTTTATTTATTATGAATTCTATCCCAGACCAGCTTTTGGAAGTGGTACCCGAGCAAAATATTTTATAATCATTAAAGTTTGCAGTTTTTCCAGGACAGTGGGTTTCTTGAATACCTATGATGTCTACTTTCACCACATCTAACCTTAAGAGATCCGCTAGTTTGTTTTTCATTCCATTTATATTAAGGAACGCAATTTATAACTTGCCTGTTAATTTGTTCTCCATTTGGTTATACTAACTTGAATCCAAGAAAAATTCTAAAGATCCTGATGACGTTAGAAGGAATTTTATTTGGTTTAGATTAAAGATTTAGAAAAAGTTATAGTAAAGGAAAATTTATTAAAAGAATTTAGCTCTTATCAGTTAAAAAAAATTGAAATATGAAAAAGGAAAAACAGCTGATTAAAAAATATAGGACTTTTTTCTTTAAAAATTTGAGTTAATATTAAATTTTTCAAATAAATATAAATAAAAAGTGTTTTTAAAATTGAAAGAAGGTTAAATTCGAACGCGTTCGTCAAAAAAAGAAACGCGTTCACGTTCAAAGTTTGTCAAAAATAAAAGGAACGCCGTTCATCATTTCTTTCAAAAAAACGAACTTGAACGCGTTCGTTTACAACACTACTTAAGACCTAATGATAAAGGCATATTTTTATTTGAATTATAATGGATATCCTCATGTTTATAAGGTATAGACAAATTAGCATTTTAAGAATAAATATTTTTTAAATATATTTTATTAATAAGCTATATTTTTTAATGGCGCTAATTCATTATTTAAAGGTAACTCATATACCCTCCATAAACAATGGTTAAACATGATAAAATGCTGATGTTCAAAGTGGTACTGGAAAAAATACTCCCATAAAATAACATATATATTTCTTTTTTCGTAAAAATGATTTGCTATAGTAATAAATACAATATTCATATACAATTAAGATATTAAATAGACTAAATTTGACTAAATTTTGCAATTAGATTTTATTTTAGTGGTAAATCATCATCATGTATATGCAAATTTTATTTAAAATAATAATTAAATGGGTTGACATCAGTGTTGTTAAAATAGCGCGCTACTTTTTTCAGTAGCGGTAGCTTTAGCTGGCTACGTTTTTTAGAAAATAGAGATAGCCGTAGCTCGCTACTTTCAATTTTACATAATAAATACATCTAAAAAATATTAAAAAAATATTTTTTATTAAATCTAAAATTATGATCCTTTTATTTAAATTTATATTTAAAAATATAAATTATAAATGTAGTTAGCATTATAAATCTAGTTATTAAAAATGTGTGAGATTGTTGAAGATAGCGAAATTTCTTTGGAAAATGAGAAAAATATAGATTATCCTTTCTATAATATTAATATATAGTATTAATATAAAATTCAAAATTAATATATTATTAATTACCTTGTGTATAATAATTATATTTTTAAAAATTTTATTTACCATAATTTAATGCTATTTTAATATTTTTTTATAAATGAATCTAAATCTCAGATAAATTTAAATTTTGAAAATTAAAAAGGTATTCTTCTTTTTTATAAATACAATCGCTTTATATAAATTAGATTTCCAGATCTGTATGATAATGATAATGTAATAGCTGCTATCGTTCATCCTAGTTTCAAGTTAAATTGGCCATACAATAATTTAACTGAATCTAAAGGGCAACTTGATAGGCTGATGGTAACGTTAAAAAATGCCATGCCTAACCACGATACTAATACTATAGCAGGATCGAAACCGCGGCCTTCCATAGATGATCTTTTGAAATAAATAATAATAATAATATTATTAAATCTCTAGATGCTTTTTTTAAATCTAAAAATACTCATTTAAATATTTTTATGATTTTTTTTATATAAAAAGTGTGTTTATTAAATTTAATACTGCGTTGCGCTCAAGAGCTAGTGCTGAACGATTATTTAGTATGGCAAAGCTTATACTTTCTGATCATCGTGCTAGATTTGGGGATGACAGTACCAAAATGTTATTATTATTAAAGTGCAATAATAAATAAATTATATATATATGTAACAAATTATAGTATGTTTTTATACCAATATTTTATTTGTGGAAATAAAGTTACGTAAAAAATATTTTAAAAAAAAATCAAAATAGCGTAAAAAGTAGCTAATAGCGTGCTACTCATTTGAAAACGATA